CCAGGAAGCTCAGAGAGTCCCAAACAAGTTGAACCCAAAGAGGAGCACACCAAAACACATCATAATTAAATAACCCAAGATTAAAGATAAGGGGAGAATCTTGAAAACAGCAAGAGAAAAGCAGAGAGTTACCTACAAAGGAGTTCCCATAAGACTATGAGCTGATTTCTCAAAAGAAACTTTACCGGCAAGAAGGGGCTGGAAAGAAGTATTCAAAGTCATGAAAGGCAAGGACCTACATCCAAGATTACTCTATCCAGCAAAGCTGTCATTTAGAATGGAAGGGCAGATAGTGTGCTTCCCAGATAAGGTCAAGTTAAAGGAGTTCATCATCACCAAGCCCTTATTACTTATCTAAGAAAAATAAGATCAAAATTATGAGCAGTCAAATGACGACAAACTCAACTACCCACAACTGAACCTACAAAACAAAAACAAACTAAGCAAACAACCAGAACAGGAACAGAATCAAAGAAATGGCGATCACATGGAGGGTTATCAGCAGGGAGGGGGAGAGGGGAGAATGGGGGAAAAGGTACAGGGGATAAGAAGCATAATTGGTAGGTACAAAATCAACAGGGGGAGGTTAAGAGTGGTATAGGAAATAGAGAAGCCAAAGAATGTATATGTACGACCCATGGACGTGAACTAAGGAGAGGGGGATGCTGGAGGGAATGGGGGGTACAGGACAGAGGGGGATAAAGGGGAGGAAAAGGGACAACTGTAATACCACAATCAATAAAATAAACTAAAAAGAATAGAAGGCGATATCAAGGTGTATTTGGATATCCATAGGAATGAGCTAGTAGAGAAGGAAAACTTGATATAGAAAAGAAGAGATAATTTTGGAGCAAAATCTCTGAGAAAATGAGAAGGAACTAGGTCCAAATTTTTCAATTCTGTGCTTCATTTGTGTTTTTTTTTCCACCCCTTTTATTTTTTCAATTTGATTTCATTTTTTTAAATGTTCTATTCTTTATCTGTTACCGTTGTCCCAATGTCCCCCGCTTCAGCCCTCTACATCCAGCTTACCCTGCACTTCCAGAGTCAATCCCCACACTGTTGTCCATGTCCATGGGTCCTTTATATATGTTCCTTGACTAATCCCTTCACCCTCTTTCAAACAGTCCCCACCTCCCTCCTCCCCTCTTACAGCTGTCTGTTACATGATTCCATGACTCTTGTTCTGTTTTGCTCATTAGTTTATTTTGTTCATTAGATTACTCTCATAAGTGAGATCATGTGGTAGTTGTCTTTTACTGACTGGCTTATTTCACTTAGCATAATATTCTCCAGATCTATCCCTGCTATCACAAAGGGTAGGAATTCCTTCTTTTTTCTGCTGCATAGTATTCCATTGTTTAAATATACCACAGTTTTATAATCTACTCATCTACTGATGGACACTTCGGCTGTTTCCAATTCTTGGCTGTTGTAAATATTGCTGCTATGAACATAGGTGTGCATAAATTCTTTTGAACTGGTGTTTTGGGATTCTTAGGGCATATTCATAGCAGTAGAATTGCTGGGTCAAAAGGTAGTTCCATTTTTAATTTTTTGAGGAAATTCCATGCCATTTTCCACAGTAGGTGCACCAGTCTGCATTCCCACAAATAATGCACTAGGATTCCCTATTCCCTATATCCTCATGAGCACTTGTTGTTTGTTGATTTCCTAATGATAGACATTTTGGCAGATGTGAGGCGATTATCTCATTGTGGTTTCAATTTGCATCTCTTTGATGGCTAGTGATGTTGAGCATCTTTTCATATGTCTGCCTTGGAGAAGTGTCTATTCCGGTCCTTTGCCCATTTTTTAATTGATTACCTTTGTGGTGTTGAGTTGTGTGAGTTCTTTTTATATTTTGGAGATTAAAGCCTTGTCCAATGTATCATTGGCAAATGTCTTTTCCCATACAGTTGGATCCCTTTTCATTTTTATTATGGGTCCTTTAGCCATGCAGAAGCGTTTTAATTTGTTGTAGTCCCATTTGTTTATTTTTCCTTCATTTCCCTTGCCCTAGGAGATATATCAGCAAAAATATTGCTACATGAGATATCTGAAATTTTACTGTTTTCCACTAGCATTTTTATGGTATCAAGACTTATATTTAGGTCTTTTATCCATTTTGAGTTTATTCTGGTATATGGTGTAAATTTTTGGTCTAGTTTCCTTTTTTTTTTTCTTTCATGTACCAGCCCAGTTCTCTCAACACCATTTATTGAAGAGACTGTTTTTACTTCATTGTATGCTCGTTCCTCCTTTGTCAAATATTAATTGACCATAGAGACGTGGGTTTATTTCTGGGTTCTCTATTTTATTCCATTGATCCATGTGTCTATTCTTATACCAGTACCAGACTGTTTGTACCACCCCTTTTAAAGGTTAATGAAAGGGATTTTTCTTTATAATCAGGCCTTGCAATCAGTTTAATTTAACTGGTATCATTCACTTACCCATTCACTCACTTAGTCAATAAATGTTTCATTTGCCTTTTATGTGTCAGTCAGTGTGCTAGGCTCTGTGAAACAAATTATAACAGCATAAACATGATCCATGCACTTATGAAGCTTATAGGTTAGCAGTGGTGTTGGGTGGGTATGATTCAGTCAAATGACTTTGAAGGAGAAGTACAGGATTGTATAAGAGCGAACATTTAAATGTTCCTAAAGAATGAGTTAGTTAGCCAGCCAAACTCTTTTAGCCATTCCAAGAGAGAAGAGCATAGCTGAAGGCCCTATTGCAGCAAGGAAATTACAAAGGCTTAAGAATTGAAATAAGACTAGAGTCTTTAATTAAATGTACCAAATAGTACAGAATCATAAGAATTTTAGACTATCCTGAGAGTACTAGGGAAGTATTGAAGGGATTTAAGCAGAGTAATGACAGAATCCATTTTTGTAATATTTTTGTTATAAAGGTATATACACAAAGCTGGAGCCTGATGTGATTAAACTTTAGAATCATATAATTAACTCTCCTTTTTCAAGTTATTTGTTTACTTAGCCATTAAACATTAAGTATGACTTCCTCAATAAGACATAAGTGGAAGTTCCCTTGGGATTAATAAAACGGTTTTCTGCTCTGTGTGTGTGTGTTTGAGAGAGAGAGAGAGAGAGAGAGAGAGAGAGAGAGATTGGGGGGGTGCTTAGACAGGAGAAATACCTGGTAGTAAATATATTATTTTTAAAATTTAGCATAGCAATGAGAAATTAGCTTAATCTACTTAGAATGTTAATAACTTATGCATCATGCAGTATTAGAAATTCTTAAGCTGCTATCTTTTACATTTGGCTATTTTTTAATTATTCTAAGAAATTATGACAGGTTTAAGTAAGGATTTCTTTCAACCCCTAAATTCTTTACTTAACATAAATAAGATTGTATTTCTCTTCTCATCATAAATGTCAGAATGCACTATTCTATTTATATTATTAGCTTCTTTAGTGATTGTTCAGAGTTATTATTTGGACTAGTTAAATTTATCTTGAGCCTTAGAGTCTGTTTGTGTTGGGTTGGCCAAAAAGTCCATTTAGTTTTTTCTGCAAAATAAAAGATGCATTCTTCATTTTCACCAACAACTTTATTGATTTGGATATTTTGAGTATGTGTCTCCCACTGGTATAACATTGACTGTTCTCAATTAATGTCTCTATTTGATTGCTATCAACTTCAACCTCAACCCTGGGGCATTGTCCAGTGAGAAACCTCTAGCATGAAACTTCACAAACCACATTTGACATGTTTGATCAGTCACAGCACCTTCTCCATACACTGCAGAAATCTTTTTGTTGCATTCCAGTTGTGCTTTTACCTTTCTTGAAATAATAAAGCATAACATGCTGAAAATGTTCTTATTCTCTTCCATCTTCAGTATTAAAATGGCTACACAAAAATTCACCAATTTTGATGTTTCTTTAGAATGTCCACTCTTATGACAGCTGTCACAATACAATCTTAACAAAATTGTTTCACATGAAATTAAAGACAACTAAGTGCTACTAGAGTCATCTTCCTGAAAAAACAAACTTTTTGGCCAACCCAATAATAAACAAGTAACACTACGTCTTGCACATAGTAGGCACTCAAAAAATATCTTCAGTGAATCAATATATCTGATACAGTTATCTTTTTAAAATTTTATTTCTCAATTATAGTTCATAATCAATATTTTGTATTAGTTTCAGGTGTGCAGTCTAGCGACCCATATACTTTACAAAGTGTTCCCCAGATTATTTTCAGTACCCACCCGGCATTATACATAGTTATAAAAATACTATATTTCCTATGCTTTACATCCCCATGACTATTTTATAACTACTAATGTGTACTTCTTAATCCCTTCACTTTTTTCACTCAGGCCCCCAACGCCCCTCCTTCTGGCAACCATCAGTCTGTTCTTCGTATTTTAAATTTTGTTTGTTCATTAATTTTGTTCTTAAGATTCCACATATAAGTGAAATCATATGGTATTAGTCTTTCTCTGTCTGACTTATTTCACTTAGCATAATACCTTTAGATTCACCCATGCTTTTGCAAATGGTAAGATTTCATTCTTTCTCTGATACAGTGCTCTTAATTACACCTTATAAAAATTTCCTTCCTTAATTCCTTTCTTTCACACAGAACATATTGCCCTTGTTTGATATTCATTTTCTCCCTGGCTTGATAGTCTTTAGTATTCTACTCTGAATATTATTATTTTGCTATTTTCCTTTAATCAAAGTCTGTTTTTAAGGTTTAATTGTCTGGAGTTTTTTCTTGAGATTCATGTACTTGTTATTTTGTACTCTAAGCCTTTGTTTGCCCATTTTCTCTTAGAAAATGTCTTTTTTCCTTTTCTCATTTGATCGCACTTAATTTATATTTAAAACAGTTTTTGAGCCTGCTTATGATTTTGTGTTTTGCAGTATTTTAATTGCAGTTTTCCCATCTTGAGGAAGTATTGAATTGTTACTATGCATTTGATAAACATGATTTTATGTATTCTATGTTTTTAGTCTATTGAAGACAATGAAGTATATTTGCCTAATGATGAAATTTGGACCTATGATATTGATAGTGGGTTGTGGTAAGTAATTTTAAATTGCAGAATGTGTAGTCTTAATATGTGTTATAAATATTTTCATAGACTCGGGAATTTATGACCCTTAGAATATACTGCAACATTTATTTCTCCCCTTCATTTTCTTTCAGTGCTTTATTCTTTCTGGCTGTTTCTTTCCCCTACTCCTTTCCTCTCTCTACTATGTATCCTTTACTATTCCTCACAATTCTAAGGCTGTCTCTGAAGACTTTGTTCTGCTAATTAATTCCCAATTCTGGTGACACATGAAGATTTTGTAATTTTCCAGTACACTGAAAAACCTTTACGATGTGTCTTCCAGTATTGGTTACCATTATATTTTAATTATAATTGTCAGTGACAATTTTCACTTAAAAAGGACTCCTGGAGTTCACAGGGAATTTTAATTTACCTTTCTGGAAAGTTATCCAATTCGATGTTATTCTTGCTGCAGGACAATGCACCTCATGGAAGGAGAACTCCCTACCTCCATGTCAGGAAGTTGCGGTGCTTGCATTAATGGAAAGCTGTACATTTTTGGAGGATATGACGACAAAGGATACAGCAATCGAGTAATATTTTCTTTCAGTTCAGGAGTGAAGCAAAATGTGTAGTATTTAGTGTATTACTTCATCTCACAAGTTCAGAAATATTTTAAAAAGAAGATATATATAGAAAATCTTGTGTTTATGATTATAAGGTTTTAGAGTGAAAAGGAAGTGGTGCTTTTCTTCCATGTCTTTCTGTTACAGAATTAACTACATACCTAATTGATATCAATAGGGCAAGAGAATTATGGGAAAAGATCTATTTCAGTATGTTTTATATGCTTCTAAAACATAGTTTCACTTTTATTAGCTTCACAGTTAAAATTTTACCTGTTAAAAAGAAAAAAGATTTGGATCACAAAATCTTCAGATATAGATTTAATTTTCAAGTGCCTTGTCTGTTAATGCTGTTCTCCTTTTTTTAAAAGCTTTATTTTGTTAATTTGCGAACAAGAGATGGAACCTACATTTGGGAAAAAATCACCAACTTTGAAGGAAAACCACCCACACCACGTGATAAGCTTTCTTGCTGGGTATATAAAGACAGGTAATGCATCAAAATCATCTCAGTAACCACACTTATGTGAGGATTATAGCTTGAGGCCAAAATCAAGAAAACTTAAGACTCTGATTTTTTTCAACATACAATTACAAACTAGTTTCTTTAAAAAAAATCCTCACCTGAGGATGTGCTGTGTTATTGCTTTAGAGAGTGAAAGGGAATGAGAGTGGGGTGAAGGTGGGTGATGAGAGAGTGAGTGAGAGAGAGAGAGAGGGAGGGAGAGAGAGGGAAAGAGAGAGAGGGAGCGAGGAAGGGAGGGAGGGAAGGAATCATTGATGTGAGAGAAACTTCGACTGGCTGCCTTGCACAGGCGCCTCAACTTACCAAACCCACAACCTACGTATGTGCCCTGACTAGAATGAGCCCTGCAACCTTTCCAGCGTCTGGGAGGACGAGCCAGCCAACTGAGTCGCATGGGCCAGGGCCAAACTTGTTTTGACACTAATGGTAACAACAGTTTAAACCCTGGAAAAACTAAGTAATAAAAACAAACATGTGAAAGCAACTATTCGGTTTTCTAAAAATTCATTAATTGATTTAAAATTTTGAATAATTAATATATTCACATTATTCAAACCATATTTACAAATATTGCAGTGAAAGCTTTGGCTCCCACTCCTACCCCCGTTCCCACATGCACAAATAGTTACTTCTCTTTATATCTTTTGCATTCTTATGGCAGTTGTTTCCAACATTGTCTGTGATTGGAATCACCTGAGGATCTTTGAAACATTCCGAAGCCCAGGTGATATACCCGACACTAATTTAATTTAATTAGTCTCTGAGAGTATGATTTTTTTGAAGTTCCTCCGGTTATTGCAAGATGCAAACAAGTTTGGAAACCACTGCTGTCAGTGTTACTTTATGCAAAAAGAAACAAATATGTATGTATGTTTGTATGTATTTCTCTTTTTTGCCCCTTCTCCTCACACAAATACCAGTGTACTCTCTGTATACTGTTTGCACTTTGCTGCTTTTTTTAATTAAGAGTATATACCATGGAGATCTTTCATCTTTCTGTATCCCTAGTTAGAAAGCTTGTTCTTGGTGGGCTTGTTTTTTGTTTTTTGTTTTTTTTTGCACTTTCATAGTACTCTCCTCTGTGAATATACATACCATTGTTTGTTTAACCTTTACCCTGTAGATTGATTCAACTCCTTTACTATTACAAATTATGCTTTAATGAATATCTTTGTGTGTGTGTCTGTATGTGTACATATCAGATAGATTTACTGAATAAAATTCCAGAATTGGATGGCTGGGTCAAAAAGTAATGCATTTATAATTTTGTAATTATAAGTTTTATAAGTTTGCTAAGGCTGCTCTAACAAAGAACCATAAACTGAGTGGCTTAAACAACAGATTTATGTATTGTCTCAGTTCTGGAGGCTGGAAATCTGAGTTCAAGGTGTCAGCAGAATTGATTCCTTCTCTGGGTTTTTGAGGAAGAATTTATTCCATGCCTCTCTCCAAATTTCAGGTGATTATTGGCAGTCTTCGGTGTTATTTGGCATGTAGAACACTACTCCTGTCTCTGCTTCACTTTCACAATAGCATCTCCCTGTGTATACTTGTCTGTCTCATCTTACCTTGATTGCCTCTGTAAAGACCTTATTTTCAATTAAGGTCACATTCTGAGGTGTTGGGGATTAGGATTCAACCTATGAATTTTGGGAGGACACAATTCAACCCATAATAATAAATTTTGCCAATTTTTTCTCCATAGAAGTTGTGCTATTTTGCATTTCAGCAATGGAATGTTTATTTCTACACAGTCTTGCCAAGAATTTGTGGGCAAATTTAGGTTTTTTATTGTTTTGCTAACTGAGAAGTGATGTCTCAGTCACATTTGATTTTCATTAAGAACATGTTTTTGTGAGTTTGAATGTACTTTCATATATTTAAGGGAAATTTTTACTTCTTTTTCTCTGGACTGTTTGATCATGTCCTTCACTAATTATTCTCTGTTGTTGGCATTTATAATCTCAATTTCTAGGAGTTTCTATAGTTATGTATTAAAGAGATTAGTGTTTGTGCGATATAAAATTTTTTTCGTTTGTCACCATCTTTTGACTTTGCTTAAAAGTGTTCTCTGTATACATTAAACATCTTTTCAAAACTGTGATTTAGATACATTTATCAATAATTTATTTTGTGGCTTCTTGATTTTGAATCTTGATTGCAAAGCCTTTTTCCCCTCTAAGGTTATAATGTAATTCTCCCACATTTTCTTCTAGTGCGTTTTTAATTTAATTTTTGCATTTATTTATTTGTTTGTTTGTTTATTTTTACTGGAGAGCATGATATATTCGTTGTAAGTTAGGTCACACTCTCCCAGGAGGGAAGACAAGGAAGGGGAGGGAAAGCTCTCAGGTGAACCTGAGGGCACAGCCAGGTGGCCCAAAGCAGTGTCACAGGTAAGCCTGGTCTTGGGACAGCTCCCACCCCTGTGTGGGAGGAACTGGTGTCACTGCCATCTTCTCAGTGGCCGCCACAGCTGAACTCCCGGCTGGCTTGCCCGACACCAGCGCCTTGTGTGAGGACAGGACTACCGAGGGCGGCTTGGCGTCCTGGCGGCGGTCAGGAGAGCAGTAGGAATTGTTGGAGAGCTCGTGGCTGAGGCCCGCAGGTAGTTTGGGAGGAGGCCGGGCCGCTTGGTGACTGGTAACGCAGGTGCAACTTGGCCTGCAAGTCTCGCCCAGAGGCCCCGGTCCGTAGCCTCCGGATGCAAAGGGTGGCGACGCGATCTTCTGTCTTCGCTGAAGGGCGCCGGCAACGTCTTTCTACATTTAAATCATTAATTCATTTTGGGCCTTACGCTGTGAACAGTGTGAGATATGGATACGTGTTTATCTTTTTTGAGATGACTACCTCATCTCTCAGTTATTTCAGATGCCACTTTTATTATGTATTTACTAATTTTTTTGAAGTTTGGATCTATTTTTAGGTATTCTATTGATCTCTATTAATGCATCGATTCACTAGTTTAGAGATTGAAGCATTACAAAACATTTTTATAGAACTAGTACACCTTAATTGTCACAAAATGAGCACATATATAATTACTACCCAAATAAAGAAACAATATTATCAACACTCTACAAACCCTTACTATGTCCACTCCTAACAACTATGCTTAGACTCGTTTTCAAAGGAAATCATTATCCTAATGTCTAGCATCCTGTATTTATTCTTTTTCATTTTTTGTGTCATATATGGAATCCTATAGAATTTATCCTTTTACTCGCACTATATTTTTGAAATTCATCCATGATGTCTTATCTACTTATAGTTTGATTTCTTTCCTATATATTATTCTATTAAATACAATACTACACAGTATATTTATTCTATTGATATTTAGGTCATTTTCACGATTTTTTTTGAAGGTTGAAAATTGTTTTTTTTAAAAAGTTCCTTTTTAATTTTTAAAAGATTTTATTTTTAGAGGGGAAGGGAGGGAGAAGGAGAGGGAGAGAAACATCAATGTGTGGTTGTCTCTCATGCACCTGCTACTGGGGACCTGGCCCACAACCCAGGCAGGTGCCCTGACTGGGAATCAAACTGGTGACCCCTTGGTTCACAGACCAGCACTCAATCCACTAAAGCACACCAGCCAGGGCCATTTTCACTTTTTAATTCTTTGGAGTAATATTAATATTCTTCTGTGTATTTTGGTACATAAAGATATATATTTCTATTGAGTATGTATCTCATTCTCTTTGTGGTCTAATTTCATTTTAATATAGTATAATTTACCTATCTTTTCTTTATGATTAGTGCTTTTGTGTCCTAGCAACTTCTCATTCCCCAAGGTCCCAAAGATGTAAGTTATCTTCTAAAATATTTATTATTTTATTTTACCCATTCCTATACACAATCTACTCGGAATTGGTTTTTGTGTGTGATAAGAGGGAAGGGTCAGGTTTTTTATTTTTTTAATCCTCACCTGAGGATATATTTATTGATTTTAGAGAGAGAACGGGGTGGGGGGAGAGAGACAGAGAGAGAGATGTGAGAGAGAAACACTGATCAGTTGCCTCCTGTATGCATCCTGACTGGGACTGAGTCCACAACCTAGGTATGTGCCCTAAGTGGCAATTGAACCCGCAACCTTTTGGTGTAGGGCTGACACTCCAACCAACTGAGCCTCCTGGTCAGGGGAAGGATCAGGTTTTATTTTTCCATTTGGATAACCAACTGGACAGCCAGTTGATCCAGCAGCATTGATTGTCATGATCATACTTTCTCCTTTGCTCTGCAGTACCACTTTCACTGCAAGTTAAGTGTCCATATATAGAAGGGTATGTTTACTGACCAGAGGTCAAACCCACAACCTTGGCGTATCAGGACAAGACCCTAACCAACTGAGCGACCAGGCCAGGGCTAATTTGTATTTTTAATATATTTGTATTTCAGATATAAACCTTGCTTAGTTGTAACAAGTATTTCAGCATGCTGTTGCATTCTATTTGCCGACATACACAGAATTTTTGAAGTGGAGTAATGTATAACTTTGTCAATTTGTTTCTGGATGTTAAGTTTTTGTCATGTCAGTTTAGAAGAAGCATTATAGGACTGCAGCTTAAAATAAAACAGAACACTGAGCTTTGGGTAGGCTTTCATAAAGGTAATATATTTGTGGACAGTTAGGAGAAATGAAGTATGTTCCTGTAAGCCACTAGGCAAGGGTTTTCTACTTTTGTTTTTCCAGGAATTATTTGACCCCAAACCCACAAAGTATTTTTGGTTTCTTACAGTTTTTCTAGTTTGGGTATACAAGAAACTGGTAACAGTGGTTGCCCTATGTAGGAGAATTGAGTGACTGAGCATAGGAAGAAGACTGACTTTTACTATACTTTTTTAAAAAAGTCGTGGTAAAACATATAATAAAATTTGCCATTTTAGTCATATTTAAGTGTATAGTGCAGTGGCATTAATTACATTCACAGTCCTGTTCAACCATCATCGTTCTCTGGTTCTAA